CTTCTTCTTTCCTCTCTTTTCTTCCTCCTCCTCCTCCTCCTCCTCCTCTTCCTCTTCTTGCCTGGATCTCCGTTGACGCGATCGGCTTCAGTGTCGATAGCTCGGTCTCGCCACGGGGATTCACTTTCTAGGATAAGTCGAGTCGCATCGCGAATCTCTTCCATCTTGGAACGAAAGCTTCGATTTCTCTTCGTTTCGTTCCGCGGATGGATCGAAACGCGTGATCGAGGAGGAAATTGGCAATGGAACGCGCGCGCGCATGCGCGCGTGTACGTGTGTGTGTGTGTGTGTGCATTCGGGAGGGAGCGTACCACCCCTGCCCCTTCTTTGATCGTTGCATAATTAATCGCCCTCCTCTATCCGACGTTAATTAAACGGTGAGAGTTTTTTCGCCGAGCGAAAGAGAGATTCCGCGATGGCCTCGAGATTTTTTCCTTTTTCTCTCTCTCCAAGGGGCACGGCCTTGAGCCACTCGGCTCAATTTTCACCTCTACCATTTCGCGAAATATTTCAACGTCGAGCCGGATGATGTAGATAAAGTGGGAACGTTCGAAGACGTACGCAACGCTTGTTTCACTTTTTTTTTTTCCTCTTCTTTTTCGTCCGGAGTTGCGGCCAATATCGCGGCCGGTGCACACTCCACCGACTCGTGGATAGAAATAAATAAAACGCGAGGTTGGACGGGGAGCCATAGATCACGCGGTATTCGGTACCTAGTCGCTATTCGCCACGCCACCTTCCTTTTTTCTTATCTCACGCGCACGCGCACAGCTCTCCGTCGATCGAGCCGACTCGTCGCGCCTCCTACCCGACTTTTGTTTAATTAATTCTCGCTTCCTCTCGAGAAACGATTCAATCTCGATCCGTTGTAAACAATAAACGACGCTCCTTTCGAACAACGACGCCAGACTTATTCTCCTCTTGCACAGACGCTCGAAAGCTAGACGAGAAATCAACGAGAATCGCCTGTTTACACCGAGTTAAGAAGCGATCGAACGCGCGTAAAAGCCCGTACGATGAGAACCGTTGCCTTCGCAATAACGTGATCGGGCGAGCGACGAGTCGAGTCACGGAAAAGAGGAAAAATACGCGTATATCTCGTATAATAGCCCTCTCGACATCACCGTTAAGCCGAGAGTATTACCGAGATCACCTTGGTATCCGAGTTCACGACGATTCTTGCTCGCCAACTCGGCCAAGTCGGAGTTCGTGTCGCGTCGCCGTTGTCGGGCTTCTTCTCTCGTGCTTCTCCGAGAGTTAACGACCGAGCCGCGTAAAAAAGAGCGGTCGATTGGTCACGGCCGATAAGAGACGAGAAATGGATTATTTTCGTCCTGTCTCTAATTTACATCGCGGATCCCGTGGATAATCATAATTGGTGGTAACGGTAGTCATTAGCGCGGCGATATTGCCTATCCGTCGGTAATCTAACGCTTCGAACCACGACGCCTCCGATAATTACAAAGAAGAAGATGTAACGCCACCGGGAAGCGACATGGCGAAACCCCCATTAAGCCGGGATAATTTTATATATATATATATATATATACACGTTTTGTCCTCCTCATACGATATGTTTCTCCTCGTCTCTTTCCACCGGACTCTACCAGGTGGGTGTGCAGGAAGGGAAATTCGATCGTGGCATTTCGTATCGAGACGCCCACTTCGAAAATAAACGGAGAGTGTATTCTACGATTTTTTTCTCTTTTTTTTTTTTATACTTCACATTAATCTTGATTTAACGTCAAACGTTTCTCTTTCCGTTTGGCGAAAAAAAATAAATTTTCGGATAAAAGTTGAACGGTTGTTTCGGAAGTGGCGTTGGTATATTTTTTCTTGGAGGGGGAAGGGGGGGGGAGGACAGTTACAGTTACACGAAGGTCAATTTTCTTTTTTTTTTTCTTCTTAAATCGTATATTTAATACTTTTTCATAGACGAATCGACGAAACTTTCCCTCTAATTTTTCATCTCTTTATTAAATTCCAATTCTATGGGAATCTAATATGTATTGCTTCTCTTCTTTTTCAAATCTTGGGATATAAAAATAATTCGAAACTGCGAATTTCAAATACTTACGTATGCCACGTTCATAAATGTCACGAGGAATGGGAAGGAGGTCAGGTGTTTCCACCTGTGATCGTAGCGATGATCAAAGGGAGCCCACGCCACGATCCCATTTTTAATTCGCAGCTCAAGTACAAAAGGCGCGTCTACAAGATGCTGCACCTGGATGAAAAACAGTTGAAGGCGATGCACACGAGGACAAACTTGCGAAGGTTGCTGGAGTACGTGGCAAACAGCCAAGTGGAGAAGATCGCCAAGATGTGCAGCAAGGGTCTGGATCCTAATTTCCACTGCCAGGAAACCGGAGGTAAAGAAAAAAAAAAAAACCCCTGGAAAGACATTTGAACGTATTTCGAATCGAAATTGTTCGCTCAGAGACTCCGCTCACGTTGGCCACCACGCTGAAGAAGCCCTCGAAGGTGATAATAGCACTGGTGAACGGTGGCGCGTTGCTCGATTATCGAACGAAGGAGGGCCTGACGGCGATGCATCGGGCCGTCGAGCGGAACAGCCTGGAAGCGGTGAAGACGTTGCTCGAGCTGGGCGCGAGCCCCAATTACAAGGACACGAAGGGGTTGACGCCGCTCTACTACAGCGTCATCTACAAAACCGACCCGATGCTGTGCGAAACGTTGCTCCACGACCACGCGACCATAGGCGCCCAGGATTTGCAGGGATGGCAGGAAGTGCACCAGGTTTCACCTCCCTCCTTTTTCCGACTCCTCCTCCAAAAGAAGGGAGGAGGGAGGACTAGCTTAAGCTTAGTTTTATAATTATAATCGCGCCCCATCCCGTTCGATAATCGATAACACTGTGTTCGCAGGCCTGCCGCAACAACCTGGTCCAACACCTGGATCACTTGCTTTTTTACGGCGCCGACATGAACGCGCGTAACGCGTCCGGCAACACGCCGTTGCACGTTTGCGCGGTGAACAACACGGACTCCTCTTGCATACGCCAGTTGCTGTTCAGAGGCGCGCAGAAGGACAGTCTGAATTACGCGAACCAGACGCCCTACCAGGTTGCGGTGATCGCTGGGAACATGGAGCTGGCCGAGGTGATCAAGAATTATCAGCCGGAAGAAGTTGGTGAGTGCGAGAGGAGGACGCGAATAGGTGAAGGAGAAATTGACTCGCGCGTCTTTCCTTTTTCTTTCTTTTTTTTTTTTTTTCCTTCCTCTCCATATCTCGATCGCTCTCCAATTCGATGGATGATTTCGTTCTATTCGCGAGTTTTTGTTATTAGGCGATGTAATTTGTTGATAATCCGAGGACGGAATGCTTGTCCACGATAATAGAACGATAAAAATTGGATCGATTGAAAATTTTTAAATATATATAGCACGTCACGTCATCTTTTTAACATTGGCATGTGCATGTTATCGAGTTGTGCAGAATGCTTCGTTTCTTTCTTTCCTTCTCCCCTCTCTTTCCTGTCTAAGACAACACACGCTTCAGCGCTTGCCAGTAGCGTAGGCTAGGAGGTGAAGTAGCTGGTAAATTAGTAGTAAATTAGTCGAGATGTATGGTGTGTATAAATATATAACATATATACAAAAGGATTTTGTATATTTATACGTATAATCTATATATATATATATATGTAATTGTGCGTGTTGTCTGTGTCTCTGTAGGGAAAAAAAAAGTACCAAAGTAATATTGTAACAATTGTCGGATGGGATGTTTTGGTGGTGATGGTCTTGTAAGACGTCGAGCATCGTTTGTAACTTATACGATACGATAAAAACGAGATAATAACGACTTTTGAAAGTTTGACCGCTTTTGGGCAACTACTACTAACGATTCACCTTTTATCTACCCTCGTCGACTGAAGCTTCGCTGCTCACGGATGAAACGTTTCCAAATCGTTTGAAAATCGCAAGATTTTAAAACCTGTTCCTCCTCGAAAAGTCGGTGAGCATCGAAGCCGGTAGTAACGTTTTTTGGTAGTTTTCGACTTTGTTTAATAAAACTTTGTTGTACACACAAATGGATGGGCACCCCGTTGAAGCAAGTCTCTCGGAGAGAGAAAGGTGGTGGTTCGATCGCGAGAGGGCTCGCCCGAAAAAGGTGGATCGATCGAGGGGATCTCGCCTGGAAAAGCACACGCGGCGCTTTCATCGATAAACACCGTGGAAAATTGAACGCGAGTTGTTGATCGATCACTTTGCCGCAACAACTTTGCTACAACAACACCAACGTGTCACACATATTGTATATTGTGGAAAACGGATGCAATACACATAATTCGCTCACGCGTGTGCTTCTCACCGCTTTCCTGTATAATCCAAACACTAACCACGTTATAACAAAATTCGTCGTTTGACAATTTATGTACGCGTGCGTGCGTAGCCAGCTTGTAAGTAAGTTTTCACATTTCTGCGAATCGTGAAATACAGAGAGAGAGAGAGAGAGAGAGAGAGAGCAAACTTTTCGAGCGAAAATATACGTCTAAATATATATAGAAAAAGGGAGAGAATACACTTACGGAGAGCGGCGTCTAATTGTAAGGCTAAGTAATCCTTTCTTTACTTAACCTTGCAACCCTCGATTTTCCAGTACCGTTTAAAGGGCCGCCACGCTACAACCCGAAACGGCGCTCGGTGGCGTTCGGAGGCACGATGACCACCAGCTGCTCGGCCACTAACCTGGGCACCCTCACCAGGATACCGTCCGCCGAACAGCAACACGCCGCTGGAGGAGGAGGAGGAGGAGGAGGAGGAGGAGGAGGAGGTAGCCTGACCAGAACGATCTCGGTGGAGCAGTACGCGGTGACGAGAGTGCCGTCCGCCGAGCAATACGCGACCAGAGTACCGTCCACGGAGCAATACGCCGCCAGCCCGAATACCGCGAGGGACCACCACCAATACGCCGGTACGCTCACCAGAGTGCCGTCCGCCGACCAATATCCGACCGGCACCCTAACCAGAATACCGTCCGCCGAGCAGTACGCGAACAGCGCCGCACGTGTACTACCACCACCGTCCATCGAGGCAACGAGCAGGAACGAGCAGCTACAGCAGAGAATAGCGCCGTCCGAGAACGGCCGAGGGATCGCGGACTACCAGAGCCCCAATTCGCTGAGGGATCCTAACGCGAGGTAAGCATAAACTGTCTTTGCGATCACTGCTCGATCGAGATCTCTTTTTTTTTTTTCTTCTCTCTCCTCTCTCTCTTCTTCTTTCTTTCTTATCTTCCTCTTAGATAGATACTTAGATATCTATCGATTCGAGATTAATCTCGATCGATCGAGAGAGGGGATTCTTCTCCTTCTTCTGTTTTTTTTATTATTATAATCTCCGAGAAAAATTGGGGAGAGGAGAAGGATTTGTAGAAAGGAGGGGGGAAGGAGGAGAGGGATACAAAGCAAAGACAATTTACGCTAATCTCGCGAGATTCAGTATGTATGGACGGGGGTTTTCGACGGTTATACGCTCCATTTCAAGATTACCAGCGGAGAACTATCAGAACGTAAGAATGGAGGGGCTGACGAGGCTGCAAGAACACCGGCTCGAGCTTCAACACCGTCTCGACATGCACAGAACTATGGAGATGCCGCCCTCGCCCTCGCCGAGCAGCAGGAGTCTAGCTCCTTTCAGCTCGGCCAGCTCGAGCCTGTCCGAGGGCAGCAATCAACCGTCCGGCGAAGATTCCGCCAGCATCGTCACAGGTATAACGCATACAGGTTTATTTTCCACGACATTTCCTCTCTCTCTCTCTCTCTCTCTCTTCTCTTCTTTCTCTGTCGCGAGAGAAAGAACACGCATGCGCGCACAAAAAGAGAAGGAGAGAGAGAGAGAGAATGCGTTTTTCTTGCGGAATTTTTCGCGCGCATCCTGTACGTGCGTTTGGGACGCGATGTGTGATCCTCCTATAGTGAGAGAGAAGCGTGAAACAAGAGGTGTACAATTTGTATGTTTGGCGTGGCTCGAACGTCGAACCATCACCATCAGAAACGGTAAGCCGTGTGTTGTTTGGTGGACCGTTTGTCGCTCGGCCCAATCACCTCGAATTATAACGAAACAAGACGCGCGAGATATATAGCCGTGCCTCCGCTAATGGATGTAACATCAGCAACCTAGACATTCCGTCAGCCAACCGACACTCTCGCGCCACATACACTACGTATATTTTATTACCAGTTGGCCAATCCTTAAAAAGGAAAAAAAAGACGGATACCGTTTTGGCGTTGAGCCAAAGGCGCCTATCTTATTTATACCCCGTTAAAAGTATATATATGTGTGTGTGTGTGTATATATATATATATACACACACACAGATATATATATATAATATATATATATGTATAGCGTTTGCATGAGGTTCGCCGCTCTAAAAACGAGAAAATGTAGGAGAAAAAAAAGATGGGATGAAAGTTTCAACAAAATTTCGACCACCCTTGTTCCGTCAATTTTTTTTTAGACAAGAGTCTCGGCGATACAGCTTCCGACGTGATTAGCGATAGTTCAGGGGTGGGGACCTCGCAGTCGGACACTACCAATTCCCTGTCGATACCGGGGACCACGGTTGTCTGCGTCGAGAGTTATAACAGCGGAATACTAGGCCATCTGAATATCAATCAAGGAGATATCTTGGAAGGTATTGACACACCGATTATTATCTTCTCTTATCTCTATCTCCCTGATAACCGCCTTTCCGATCTCCTTCACTCTCTCCTTCTCCACGTTTGCCGGATAAAGAAGGAAAAAGCGAGCGATTTCTCTTTTATTCAAATTTCGTTCGAATTTCGTTCGAGTGGGAAAGGAAGTATATCTGTTCTTCCATATTCGACAGTGACCGGGGCGACCGATTGCGGCCTTCTCGAGGGTGTGCTTCGAGGACAGGGCACGGGTCTGTTCCCGGCGCACTGCGTGCAAGAGGTCAGGCTTCGCCACACCAACATTCCATTGGGCCCCCAGCCTGCGAGGGACGGCCGGAACAGGGTGTTGGGTCGTAGAGAATCGCAACATAAGTATTTCGCTACCGCTCCTAGATTGAAGAAACCGTGAGTCGCTTTGTATACATACACACACACACACACACCTCTCGATCTTTTCGATAGCGACGATTATCGAGGCTACGAATTATTAATTATTAACTAACTTAACGCTCCGCCAAATGTTTTTAACACGCGTTAGTTAAAACGTGCCAAGTCTGTGTACCATTACGATCAAACCATTTTTTCTATGGTTAACAATAACGAAGAAAAATAAATATTACGATGAGAATTTAGAGTGATAACGGACACGTAATTTGATTGTCTGGATCTGGAAGACAATGATTCTGACACTTCGAGTAGAAATTATACTACCGAAGAGACGAATTATTGAAAACGAAGATTCGTTACAAGACTTAGATGGATGGATGTTGACGGAGGAATTACATATTCTCCGGATAGAATATCTTTTAGTGTATTTGCCACAGGTCATTGGACCACAAGAAGTTCTTACAAATATCGAACAGCCGATACAATATTTTAAATTATTTTTCACGGACGAATTGGTAAATGAAATTATAAAAGAAGCCAGTACTCGAGAAACGCGCGAAGCGCTAAGGGTTAATACGATTAATAGGCCGGGCGAATAACAACCGTTTGATAACCTTCTCTTCTCTCAGAGTTACGTCGGAGCCACGCACCGTGGTCCTGCATCGTTCGAGAAAGGGTTTCGGATTCGTGTTACGAGGCGCCAAGGCGACCTCGCCTTTGATGGAGTTGACGCCTTCGGCCAGGTACCCGGCCTTGCAGTACCTGGACGACGTGGATCAAGGAGGAGTGGCGGATCTGGCCGGTCTTCGAAAAGGGGATTACCTTATCCAAGTGAGCGGTGCTTTCCTTCTATATCTATCTCTCCCCGTTTTTCCGTGTACTCATACTTTTTTTTTTTTCTTCTCATCAGATCAACGGCGAGGACGTGACAACGGCGTCGCACGAGCACGTAGTCGACTTGATACGAAAATCGGGGGAGTTGGTTCGTATGACGGTGGTCTCGCCGGTGATCAGCCTCCCGAACTCGCAATCGGCTGCTCTTCTCCCAACTAGTCAACCGATTCAGAGACAGTACGCGACCCTCCCCCGAAAAGGTAACAACAACGTGGCGATCGGCGGCACGCTCGGCAGATCGCCTGCCCCCATGCCGCCCCGAAGGGATCCAAAGACGACGCTGAGCGTTGGCCGGGCGCGAGCAAGATCGATGGTAGCTGGATTAGGTAAAAGGAAAAAAAGAAAAAAATCTGATGGCAACGATGATAAATATGTGATAATTTTTGTGGCGGCGCGCAGAAGGTGGTGGGGAGAGAGACGATCGCGACGAGATCACGTCGACGGGTGCCAAATCGAGTAGCGCGGAATCGATCCATCTTCCCCAGCAGCCGTCCACCGGACCCAACACTGGGCAAAACACGCCGGTACAGCCGAGAACGGCCAGTATTCGATCGAGGCCTACCTCCAGTAGGATCACTGCCGCGGAGCTGGAGGTGCGTATGGTCGCGTTTCCATTCGGATCGCGAAACATATGCTCGATGCGCTTCTCTCCTCGAATGGCAGATCGCACGACAAACCACGAGGCTTCAAAGCTTTCTCCTTCCTTTCTTCCAGGAACTATTTCAGCGGCAGCAAGGTAGTGCCAGTGGTCAGTACAGCTCGTCCATGATGAGCTCTCACTTTCAAACTGGTCAAGCTACCAAGTCGCATCCCTCCTCGCCCGCAAAGACCGGCAGGGTATACGCGAGCGTAGCGGAAATGAAACGCAAAGGCAAAGTAAGGAACTACATCCCCTCCAAATTTAAATCGCATTTATTCTCTTTCTTTTCCTTCCGATTTTACAGATTTTCACCCTGTTACGATGATTTCTTTCTTTCTTTCTTTCTTTCTTCGATCGTACGAACATGGTAGATTTTGGTGTGGTAATCGCTGGTAGAATTTAAACTTAAATCTCGTCATCCGTCCCTTTGCCTTTTCTAAGGATGTAGTAAAAAAAAAAAAAAAAAATAACGTCATCGCTCTCAAATTTTCGGAAAAATCCTTAGAATCGGCAACTTTAATCACTCCCCCCTCGTAATATTAACCTAACGCTAGATTCGTTGGTTGTTGGTATTATAATCTATATTCGTAGAATAATTCTCCCCCCCCCTCCCTATTTGATTAATCGCTAGCCCTTTCATCGTTTAATCGTTATCACTTTATATATATATATTATATTCGACGCAAGAGAGTTACAAAGAATTTTTCAGAGAGGTTAAGACTCCTCCTCGATGCATGCTACCTCTAGCGGTGACGGTGGCTGTTTTTACGCATGTGTGTTATAGTTTTCTCGCAAGCCAGCACGAGTGTACAGCAAGGGGCGCTCCTGGTACGAGAGAGACAACGAGGACGACTTATATTACTGATCGAAAATACTTTGTTTCTAGCGCGTCCGTGACTTGCATGATTCCAGGTGACTAAGCCATTTGCTAATGAAAATCCGATGCTCGAAAGGGCATCGGATATCACTTTCAGCTTTATGAACACGCCTCGCAGAACTAACCACGTGTATCCATGAAAACCCGAACGTTTTAATTACTTTGCTTACACTTTTTGCATGATCGTGCAGCTTGCCTCCCCACAACATCGAACCTTATACGCGCTTTTAAACTGATTTTCCATTTTGCATCTTAAATCGTCGCGAGTTTCACAGTATATTCGAAGTATATCGCTGCTCGAAAAAAAGGAGATAGATAGACGAACTAGATTAGTAGATAGAACGAGAGAGAAATGTTTTCTCGTGATAGAACACAGGTTGATCGAGTTACCGACATACCTGCTTTTTGTGTTGCCGCTTTTACACGAAATTAATCGAAAACGTGTACATAAGTATCTCGTTTGTTCTCGCGTTACTCGTAACAGCGAATAGTGTTATCCAGCTAATGTATCTCCCAGCTATTGTTTCCGTTTCGTTGAACGCTCTTCTCTCTCACTCCCTCTATCGACATGTTGTAGATCCCAATAAAATTTCTCGGCTTTGTTCACAGTTGAACTCGAGGGTGCGATTCTTCGGTGGATTGGGCGGTGGTTCCGATCTTCATCGAGACTTTCACAGTACGCCGGACTTGAATGTGCAGGTGCAGTCGTCTATTTTAGCACCGAAAGGGCACAGAAGCCAAGAGGACGTGAACGCGTTGAATGGAAGAAACGGGCTTCCACCACCGAACCATCCGCCACCTCCGCCACCTGTCGGCCAAGTCGTCAAAGTAAACGTGGGCGCCAACGTGCCGGATGTAGTCACACCGGCCTCTGTCTACGATAACATGGCTCACATACAACAAGTCAAAGGTATATCTATGTATACGCGTATTTCTTGGCCCTTTTTATTTATCTAGAATAAATTTCAACTATATATATATATGGATATAATCACGACGTATCTTTTCTGCCTTCTCGGTTCAGAGTTGGCAGCCGCGACAGTGGATGGAAGTTACGGCGTGATGTCGAGTTTCCGACCTTCGAACAGCGCGAAACTGTACGCCTCGCCGGAAGACATGAAGACGGTTGGGTATCGCTCCCGTAGCCTGCCGGCTCACACGACCCGTTGTCACGTGAGAAAGTCGCACAGCTTGCGCACTACCAACAACACCACGTTCAAACCGTTGAACAACCAGCAGAACGTGAGCAACGCGGTGAGCAACAACAACCAAGTGAACAACAATCAGTCGGCCAACAACCAATACGCCCAACCATTGAAGACGAATAGAAGTCACAGCACGATCGGTATCAGGGAGAGAAAGAAGAAGGGTATCAGCACCAGTTCCTCGATCACGAATCTCTCGTCCGTGGCCAACAACAACGCCGGGAACACGGTGGTGACGTCGAGCGCGGCGCCACCTATCCCAGAGCCGGATTACAGCCTTTCCGAGTCGGAGAACGACGAGGGCGAGGAGGAGACGGACGACGACGGGGAATCGGAGATCGCGAAGGAATTGGAGAAAGCGGCCGCGAGGGAGAAGTTGGAATCCACTCGAGAAACGTCGGGCAACTCGAACACTTCCGGCTCGAGCTCGTCCGGTAGCAGTTCGTTGCCCCACTCTTTCAGCGTGGAAGAGATTCAGAAGGTGAGGACGCAGTTGAAGTCTTCGAAAAGTCATCCGAACGATTTTCTGCTGCAACAAACCCAGCAATCCCTGGCCGAGGATGGTGACAATAGCTCGAGTGGGGTGAGCTCCGATCAAGACGTGCCGGTAGGCCCGCCGACGGGTTTCGACGACACCACCGCGAGAAATCTTGCCAACGAGGCCGCACAGCATCCTGCCACGGTACTCTCCGTGACCAGTGTCGAAAAGGAGGCCAATCCGAAGAGGACGAGCTACGGTGGCAGTGGATTATTGACGCGACACGCTGTCAGCTTGGCCCAATTACCACCACCGATCGAGGCGGATGCCGAGGAGCAGAGCAACGACCTGTTCGTACCACCGCCACCGGAGTTCAACGCGGGACCGTCTGCCGGGAACGGGGACGAGTTGGTATTTGCCCCACCACCTCAATTCTGCGACAACAAACAGCAAGCGCAACAACAACAACAACAACAGCAACAACAACCGCAACAGAATCGCGTTAAGATCATCGGGGCGATACCGAAAGTTAGCAACAATCAAGTAAAAGCTTCCGGCGGACGATTGCATAATCAGTGAGGAAATAATGGTTGCGAACGATCGCCGATGAACGGACGCGTTCGGGTCCCGTGATCGTTGGTTCGATCACGATCTGTCAGAGTCAATTTAATCTTTCCGTAATTAAATCTTTTTCTCCATCCGAGATAATTGTGCACACAGCGCGTGACGTATACTGAATATCATCTGTTCCGTCATTCGGCCGAAAACGAGTTAAACGAAAACCTATACGCACGATGCGATTATTTGCAATACAATTTTTTCACCAATAATATTTGTGGGGCAATTTTTTTTAACGAAACAAACAAACGCGCGCGTCGTCCCTATCGCAACTTTGACCCATATTTCGATCGAGCGTCGTTTCGCCGTTGCTCTGTCAAGCGTCTGCGGTAGCCAAGTGAACGATGTATTCAGTGAATTTTTACCGTAAAACTTAGAATATGAATCGTACGAACCGCAGATACGTTTAGATTTAAAAAGTCGTGCGTGCAATGCTTTCTACTTGCGAAATGATATAGAACCACATTCGTAAATGTCAAAATACTATAAATGTCTCGTGGAATGGCCTAAGAGGTGAACGAGAGAAAAAAAGATCTATATACCGTACTGTAGTTCGTAATTAGAGAGAAAAAAAAAAGTATGCGAGTAACACTGAGAGAGAGAGAGAGAGAGAGAGAGAGGCAGAGACACAGAATAAAAAACAAAAAAGTAAGAATAGTTATATGAGATGCGTGTGCATGTATGCGAATGTGCGTGTGTGTAAGAAACGTAGAGAATGAATGTATAGCGTATATCGGTTTGTTTTTCATATTTCTAAAGAAGTACGACGCGTGTTTAATACTTTTACATGTAACGATCTTTATCCTTAAATGCCATCAACTTCTCTCATTCCATCGTATAAGAACA